GATGGCAGCTGTTTGCTGCCATCAGGTGCCCCTCATAGGTTGGCACCCCGGGCAGCTGCCTGGCTAGCCCATGCCTTAATCCGGCCCTGAGCATGTGTGGTACGAGCCCAGGAGGGTACAAAGATGTAGGAGGGGGCTCCAGGCTGGGGCAGGAGGTTGGGTGCAGGGTGCCAGGTCTCAGTGGCTCATAGACTCTGGGAAGCTCCACATGCTACCCTTGTGCCTGCAGGTGCCATCCCTGCAGCTCCCATTGGTCATGGTTCCCAGCCAATGGCGCTGTAAACGCAGCACTCAGGGCAGGGGCAGTGCACAAAGGCTCTCTGCACCTAGGAGCCACAGGGACCTGGCAGTTGCTTTTGCGAGCCACATGGAGCCAGGGCAGAAAGGGAACCTGCCTTAGCCCCAGGCTCCTACTGTGTTTATGACTAGACCAGTATCAAATGGAACCACCAGGTCCCTTTTTGACTGGGCATTCTGGCCAAAAACTGGATGCCTGGCAACCCTCATCAGAGCCATAGCATGAGCCCCAACTGTGGGGAAAAATTTAGAAGAACCAAGTAATAGAGCTGTATCTTGGGAACCTCTGGCTCTAATTACTCCAAATTTGGACTGATAACACTACCCCATATTCCCACACGGCTCAGGAAATGTCAAGACAATCTGTGTTAGGAAGTGGATTTTAGAGCACTAGTTAAATTGTCTTTTAACTAGTGATTCAACCTTAACTCTCACAAAGCTCCTGGCTCACGCTAGCGGAGCTGCCAGCCTATTATAATAAATATAAAGAAATGACCTTGACATTGGAAGAAGGTATGTTACTGACTATTGTTAGACTTCCTCCTGAGAGCACTGAACCATGCCGCACTGTTGCAGTATGACATAAAGAGAAATGCACAATCTGTAGTCCTGGAACAATTGCATCTGGTTCCACCATGACCCTTCATGGCTCCTGTTTTAGAAGGCCTATGGATTGACTGTAATTAGGGCAAATGCCTTGCACCTTGCCTTTCCCCTTTGTCCATCAGATGGTTTCTGGGGTGCTGATGTTAATGTAACTATCACACTTACCTGAACTTTCTTCACATCACATTTTATAAAACTACTAGAACTAGAAACCCAATATGTATAAACAATGTGATTATTTCATGTAGTCTACTTGGAATACTTTACTTTTCATTTGTTTCCTTTTACAATCACAGATTAGCAATATTTCCATCCATGGACAGGACTTTGGAGAGTCCATCTTTGAGCCAGGCATGACTTTTGCTCTTGCACGTTTTGATGGAGTGCTGGGTTTAGGATACCCTTCTTTAACAGTTGGCAGTGCTCTTCCAGTATTTGACAGCATAATCGAACAACATCTGGTAAAGGAGCCAGTGTTTTCCTTCCACTTGAACAGGTCAGTTTTCAATACTGAATAAAGGGGACACTGTCAAAGAAGCACATTTTTTAACTGTAGAATAAGAAACTACCTCGTATATTTTTTCATATCTAAAAAAGGATATTTTCAGGAGTGTGTCTAGATACATACATACTAGTGGGGCAACATATAATCAAATTTACAGAAATGCTATTAAACTTATATCTTTAAAAAATACTTCTATTGTGCATATGAATGATGAATGCAAAGCTCTGAGAACTCCAAAGAAGTGTGTTGCTTCATTAATCTGATAAATGGCCTACATTTATAACTTTTTAAAAATGAACAACGGACTTTTAAAAAAAAGATGTGTAAAAGGAACCTTTTTATTATTTTGAAAATTTCCAATTATTGGATTAATTTTTAAAAATCCACCTTTTTTTGTTTGAAAAAAGCAATACAAAAGGTCAGTTTAATATTTTAAGAATTTTACCACTTCTCTTATTTTTTTGCATTTTGTCACTGAAAACGTGGGATGAGAGGGAAAGGAGAAAAAGTAGGAGACAAAACAGGACTCTAGAGCTACGTCTAGACTGCATCCCTCTGTTGACAGAGGGATGCAAATCAAGCACGTCAAAATTACTAAAGAAGCTGGGATTGAAATATCCTGTGCCTCATTAGCATAAACATAGCTGCTGCTTTTTTTCAAAACGGAGGTTTTTTTTAAAAACTCGGCAGTTTAGATGCGGATCTGTTGAAAATAAACCCTTTTTCGATAGATCCTGTATTCCTCAAAAAATGAGGTTAACAGGATCTGTTGAAAAAGGGTTTATTTTCGACAGAGCCGCATCTAGACTACCGTTTTTTTTCTGAAAAAACTCCATATCAGAAAAAAGCAGTGGCCATGTTTATGCTAATGAGGTGAGGGATATTTAAATCCTGGCTTCATTAGCAATTTCGATGTGCCTAATCTACATCTCTCTGTCGACACAGAGGTATAATTTAGACACACCCTGGGGCTGCAGACAAGTGAGAGTATTTCAGAAGGAAAGGGGCTTTGTTCTAATCTCTATTTCAATCAGTACATGTACCCTGGATTTAAACTGGGGTAAACCAGAATGGAAACTAGCCTAAGGCCATTTGCTTCTAATCTCACTCCTAAACCCTTTACAACTGCTAACATTTTTAGTAAGGGGTTTAGATTGTAAATTCTGATTTGGGGCCATCTCTAGGTATAATTATAAAATCACAAGATTTCCATTACAAAATACACATTTGAAAAAGACATGAAAGGGTTGGAATGGAAAGCTAATTTCTCCCTCCCCACACCTAATGTCCTGCTTAAATGTTACATCATCCAGTTTATATATTTGTTTTACATTTTTAGAGGAGAAGACATTGAAAATGGTGGTGAATTGATACTGGGAGGTATAGACCATTCTCTCTACAAAGGTTCAATTCACTGGGTCCCAGTTACTGAAAAAAACTACTGGCAAATTCACGTTAACAAGTACGTATGTATGTCTAAAAATCTGATGAAACCGTCTCTCTGTGTAGGCCTATTAAAAGCCCAGTAAATTTGTGGTGCAATTGGCCACCGTGGACGTACTGCTTCCCAAAAGAGTGCTTCTGGGAAAGATACAAAGTTAATTAGAGTGTCCAGTGCTGCAATATTTTCTAGAAGCACTAACTTTGGCTGCTGATACTCAGAGGAATGTCCTTTATTAACAGGTCACAGTGGGAGTTTTGGGAATCCTCACCATAGGCACCAACTCTTTGGCTGCTAAAGAGTGCTTAGAACCCATTAGCAGCTCCCTCCCTCCTGGTCATCATGTCCTTCTACCCCCAGTGCCTCCCACCCACCAGCAGCCCCACCAATCAGCCTCTCCCTCTCCTTCCCAGCACTTCCTGTCTACCGCAACCAGCTGTTCTGCGGAGTGCAGTAAGTGCTTGGGTGGAAGAAGCAGAATATGGTAGGAAGGGGCAGAGCTAGGGTGGGAAGAGGCAGGGTGGGTAGAGGCAGGGTGGGTGCCCGGGGGAAGGGGTGCATTGGAGATTGGGTGGAGCTGGGGAAAGAAGGGACAGAGTGGGAGTGGAGATTTGGGGAAAGGAGTAGAGTGGGGGCAGGGCCTTGATGGAGCAGGGGTTGAGCATCTCTTTGGTGTCATAGACCAGGTCTACACAAAAGGAGAAATCGAACCAAGGTATGTAATTCCAGCTATGTGAATAGCTTAGCTGGAGTCAACATACCTTAGTTCAAATTTCTGTGGTGTCCCATGTGGGAGGTCAATGGGAGAAACTCTCCCGTAGACTTCCCTGATTTCTTATGACCTGGAGAAGTCCTGGAATCAACAGGGGCCAACCAGCAGTTGATTTAGCAGATCCTTACTAGACTTGCTAAATCAACCCCCCAGAGATCAATTTCCACAGTGTCAATCTCCTAGTAAGTGGGGACAATGCTTAAGAAAGATGGTGCCTGTGATCCTTACTTTCCTGGGTGTGGGCTATTCTCATAATCCGAAAGCACTGAGTTCAATGGATTGCCACAGCTTTCCAGTGAGACAGTGGTCTAGTCACTTAGGCCATGTGTGCAGTAGGGAGGTTACAGCAGTGTAGCTGTACCTATGCCCCTGCGCTGCTGTAAGATCTCTAGGGTAGATGTTCTGTGCCAGCGGGAGAGAGTTCTCCCATCGACATAATTATTTCATCCCCAACAAGCAGCCATAGCTATGTTGGCAGGAGAAGCTCTTATATACACATAGCACTTTCCAGACCAGCACTTATGTCAATGTAACTTACATTGCTCAAGGGATGTTTTTTCACCCCCAAGTAGCATAACATCTCTTGATGTAAGTGGTAGTGCAGACTTAGCCTTAGCCTTGCTGTGCCTTAGCTCCTACTATTTCAAATGATTGTGATAATAATAGTTCCCAGCCTTGGATACTTTCATCAGTGTTTGTGAGATGCTTCATGGACGTATTGATTGGGGTCAGAGAAATACTCAGATCCATGTTGGACTGTAAATTTCTACATGTTCAGAAGAGCAGGTGACACACATAAGTATTATTTCTAGAGCTCTTTTGCCCTAGTGTTCTGTGAACACTGTCCCCCTTCTTTTATAAGCAAGAGAACATCTTTAAGAGTCAGTATAAAGTTTGAACCAGTTGCTTGTATTCTATCTGGCAGCATAGCCTTGCTTAAATTCCCTACTAACTATGTCATCACTCTTAGTGTATCTGCCCTCTATTTAAAGTGTATATGCTTTGTTTTTTCCACATGCAGTGTGAAAATCCAGGGACGGGTTGCACTTTGCACCCATGGTTGTGAAGCCATTGTTGATTCAGGCACTTCTCTTATTACGGGCCCCTCTTTACAAATAAGACAACTACAGGAGTATATTGGGGCCAGTCCAACACCAACTGGAGAGGTAAAAACCACAGAGTGGGGGAAAAAACCTCAGAGGAAGCAAATTAGTGATTTGATACAAATGCTGATGTTTTGGGGGGACAGGAAAAGAGATAAAATGATCAAAATTAGGTACAAAGTAGGGATTAGGAAAAAGTTTGTTGCTTGAACAGAACTGAAATCAGGGCAAGATATGTGATTTGTAGAGTTTTTCATCCTTTCCCATTATCTGCTTCCCAGGTATCTCTTCCCACCCTCATTAATGTCCGTATTGATCAAGGAGAAGCGTCTGTTTAAGGAAATGTTCTGTTAAAAGGTTCCTCAAACAATCATGATAGCTTATGACAGATCTATCACCTTGTAAAACAAGAGAAGATTACCTTTCCAAGGTCACAAGGCTGTTAACTCCTTAAAGTCCAAAACAGTTCCAGGCTGGCTGTCGGTCAGAATCAGGAAATTAAGATAAAAAGATTCCAAAATGACAGATGTGTAATAATTCCATTGAAGGGCACAGGTATCTGCTGAGCTTACGAGAGCTAACGTTCTTGTTACCAGAGCCACTAGAGGGAGGACACAGTTCTAGAATTAAAAATATTCTAATTCACATTAATGTAACATATGGATCATCTAAGAGCTAGCTTTGTCCCTATCATGCATGTCTCTGCTGCTCTTAAGCCCAGGAAGGTGCGGCCAGATAGCTTCCTGTACTGCCCCTGCCTGCAGGAATTACCCCTGCAGCTCCCATTGGCCAGGAACCACAGCCAATGGGGTCTGCAGAGTCAGCTGTCAGGCAGAGACTGCACACAGAGCCCTTCTGGCCACCCCTGCCTGTGCCTTGGAGCCACAGGGACTTCTGGGAGCCACTCAGAGCCAGGGAAAATAGGGACCCTGCGTTTGGCCCACTGTGTTGCCCCCTGCTAACTGAACTTTTGGCATATTAAAATCTTCCTGATCGCTTTCAATAGCTACTTGGAGGTTGAAATTGATTCTGGGAGAATCCTAGCCAATTTGGTAGGGTTACCACCCTAAGTGGAAGGGGCAAGGCCACCTACTTCTGCTGGCCGCTCCTCCCTGGGTCAGCGTGAGAGCCCAGCCACTCAGCCCGTGCAATGGCTGCCTATGAGGGAGAGAGCCTGGCTGGGGGAGGCAGTGATGGCAGTGGGTGAAGGACAAAACCTCCCTCTCTCCACTCCGGCAGGCCAACATGGTGGGGCGGGGGGGCGGGAGGGGAAGGGAGGCACTTGCCCCAGCATGTCCCCCTTATACATTATCCCTGCTGCAGCAGGTGACAACCAGACTTTTGGTGTCCAGTCAGTGATTCTGACCAGATAGGTGCTGTTTTCAACTGGGCTTTCTGGTTGAAAACCAGATTTCTGGGAACCCTAATGCTTTCACTCCTATTTGCTCAGGGAGTAACTTCACCATGTTCTTCAGGAACCTCTCCATTGATGCCCAAACAGCTTTGCTTCTTCACTTCATGGCTTGTCAGTCTGCCTGCTTGCAACCATAGGCTGTGTCTAGACTGACCAGTTTTTCCGGAAAATCAGCTGCTTTTCCGGAAAAACTTGCCAGCTGTCTACACTGGCCGCTTGAATTTCCGCAAAAGCACTGACGATCTCATGTAAGATCTGGCACAAAAGGGCCAGTGTAGAGAGCCCAGATTTGTTTTCCGCAAAAAAGCCCCGATCGCGAAAATGGCGACTGGGGCTTTTTTGTGGAAAAGCGCATCTAGATTGGCACGGATGCTTTTCCGCAAAAAGTGCTTTTGTGGAAAACCGTCCGTGCCAATCTAGGCGCTCTGTTCTGGAAATGCTTTTAACGGAAAACTTTTCGGTTAAAAGCATTTCCGGAAAATCATGCTAGTCTAGACGTAGCCATATTGTTTCCTATATACATTTAAATGGTAGTCTCATGTAGTCTGGGAGCATGTGTAATTCCATGGGCAAATGAATGATGGAAAGGTCATGGAGCTGTCATTTGATTTGTAATAATCTATAGAATCATAATTTCACTAGTATCACCTTCTGCAGTGATTAGGGTGCCCCTGCCAATCCACCCATCTCCCCAGTTTGCAGCTCCAGATACTCCATTGATGGAGACGTGTTATATATAAAGGAAGTTGAGTCTTAGTTGCCCTTTATTTGATTGGTCAGGGCAACTAATTGGAATTTGCTCCTCACAGCACCGAAAGACTTGTTGAAATATCTTTTTGCTTAAGATTTAACCAAGTATTCTGTGGTGATTGCCTGGTACCTCGATGAACTAAGAGGTATAGAAATGTAGCATGGAGAGGATCAGGGCAAGGTGGGAGGTGTCAGCACCTCATTTCCAGGAGGGGCAAGGTGTTGGGCAAAAGAGGCAGGGCTGAGGCAGCCAGCCCTCAGCACTGTTCAGATTATGTGGCGCTGGTCTCCCCACCCCCAGCCAGCCCTTAGAGTTGCCCAGAGTGTGCCATGCAGTGCTCCAGCAGTGCTTTAAATGGCCTGGCCACTACTGCTCCTGCAGTAGCAGTGACTGGGCACCCAAGGCCTTTTTGAATTGCTGGTTCCCACGGCAACTGCCCTCTTTGCCACCTTCTGTCAATGAACCTGCCTTGAGGAATAAAGGTTTTCATGGCAACTTCCATAGGACTACAAAGGTTATTTTTTTTGGCTTTAAAGTATAATTTTAAAAGCATCGACTTTTAAAAACCCACACACACTCACGCACAATTTATTCTAGGTTTGTCATATGTAATACTATTATGTCTGTGGGGAGAAAGGGCTTTCAAAATACACCCAACTTGAACCTTTTCCAATGACCTTGTATTATCAAAATTTCCACCAACTGGAGGACCTCGAGCTGCGAGGCTGTGGGGCAGGGAATCCTCTCTACTCCAGTGCAGAATGTGACACCACTGAAATGATGATTCTGTAGATTTTATGAACCAAATGATGTTCCCTTACCAGTTAGTCACTAACTTGCCCACGCTACATTGTGTTTCCAGACTAATATTGCTGAGCTGCCAAGCACAGACTGGTGTATGAAAACACTGCCCCCTTGAGGTCTTTTGTAAATAGACTACAATGCCAGCAAATTGATTAGCACATTACAGCAAGGCTCTAAAGTCAAGTCTAGTTCAGTGCTTCAGTTCTCTCTCTGCTGCGTTTCACACTTCCCTTGTGCTTCCGGGGTAAAACAGAACTATGAGCTCACGGGGCCTAACTCCTGCAACTTCTAAAGTTCTGAGGTAATAAAGTAGTTGACTCCTACTCCTCTCTAGAGACAGTCTCACTTACTTTTACCAAAACAAAAGACAGGACTATGCAGCACTTTAAAAACTAATAAGATGGTTAGACCCACTTCCTCATCTTGTTAGTCTTTAAAGTGCTGCATAGTCCTGTCTTTTGTTTCAGCAAGACCAGACTAACACGGCTACATCTCTATTACTTTTACCAGTGTGTTAATGTGGACCTTTGGCTGACATGTTGATTTAATTACTACATTGCCCTAGCTTCAGAATCCCAAGTAAAGCAAACACATGTGATTCTTATTCGCTTTTGTATCTGCATCGATTTTAGTGAAGCCTTCCAAACCACATTTGAAAGTAACATCAAGATTGCTCAGTGTTACAGTACCTGAAAATCAGGCACTGTCAAAGATAATGTAGAAAGCGCAGTTTTAACTCAGCCCCCTTTTCTGCATATATATGATGAGATATAGGCCCTGATTCACAACTGTGTTACTGCAGTTTTAATCCTGCTGTGTAAATCCAGTGACTTCCTATTTATTCAGTTCTCAGATAAACCAATTTTATTTCCAATGTTAGATACAGGTACAGGCAGTCCCCGGGTTACGTACAAGATAGGGACTGTAGGTTTGTTCTTAAGTTGAATTTGTATGTAAGTCGGAACTGGTACATATTGTAGGGGAAACTCTAGCCAAACATTTCTCCAGAGCTCAGTTTTATTCTCCCACACCTCACTTCCCTCAGTCCTTTATTCTCAAGCTGAGGTGTCTGCTGAGAAAAGCCGCTCCGCGTCTCCTTGGTCTGCTGGGGGGGGGGCGCTAGCTTCGCGTCTCCCTGGTCTGCTGGGGGGAAGAACCTAGTGCGGGGTTGCCTCACCCCGTTTGTAAGTAGGGATCCGATGTAAGTCGGATCCATGTAACCCGGGGACTGCCTGTATATGTATAAGATTATGTCATTGCATAAAGACTTTATTTTCATTTACCTATGTAAGAGGCAGCATTAAGAATTTTCATTCAAACTTAGTTGTATTAAGGTAAAATAAATGAAGAAACAAAGGCATGAGAGGGAGACTTTATCAACCAAACCTCATTTACTTTTTTTATTTTAACAATGTGGAGTATACCGTTAAACAATGTTAAAACACAATATTTAGCCAGGGATGCAATTCCTCTTTCAAAGTAGCATGGACATACTACTTCATATAGTGCTCTGTATATTTACTGCAAAATATTGTAGTGGCTGCCCAGCTGCTCCTGGTGGTGGCTGCCTGGCTGCTCCCATCGAGCACAGCCGTAGAGCAAGCCGCCCGCTACGCCCCTGTTAGCTCCACCCCTGGGGAAGCTGGTGGTGGTTGCCTGGCTGCTCCCAAAATACAATTGGCCATGTGCATTCTGGCATAAGTGTTTTGCAAATGCTACTGACTTCAATGGGCTGTTTAACCTTTTATACCACAGACAAACTTGTTCTAGACACATTTGTTGTTTAAGTGGAGCTACATAATGGCTCAACTGGGTGAAATATTTCAGCTAAAAATCTTTTAAAAAAATCAGATTCATACCAGGTTTTGTGAATTTGTATTGGTTTCGATGAATTGTTTGTGTTCGGGCAGGGAAGATTCCAAAAATATCAAAAGGAAGCATTTAGATTTTTTGGATCAAAATGTCTTTTTGTTTTGAAAGTACATCCCCTTTTTAAAAAAATTAAAACATTAAAAAAGGCTCAAAATTGAAATGAAATAAATGAAATATTTTGAGTCAAATGAAATGTTTTGTTTGACCCCACACATCCTGTTTTAGACTTTTTAATTCATTCAAACTGTAAAAAATGTTTTTTAAAATTGACAATGAACTGAAAAATATCTGTTACTTGTCATATTCCACAATGCATTATCCGGACTCTGTTGTCCCACAATATACTTTGCAGCTCTGCTTGGCTTCTCTTTCCCAGAATACACTCAATGGACACTCAAAATACTCGGGGAATATAGTTCCATAAACTAGATTTAAAAAAAAATTCTTCCTCTTGTAAAACAATAAGCCAAACCAGTTTTTTTTAATGAACAGAGCAACTGGAGAGGCAAACAAATACATAGAACAAACCAATAACAAACAAACAAACAACCCCCCCCACCATAAACACAAAACAACCCTCCTCTTATATGTGTACCGTGAATTAGTGTAATATTTATAGCACTGCATGGCCATTCCAGATTGTACTCTCTCCCTTCTTGGAATTCTAGTGTAGTGCGCTCTAACACTCAATATGCCCCATAGACCTTCTGGATAGGTTCTCTCCATCGGAAACTGTGATGTTATTGCACTATGGCTGTGTCTAGACTACATGCCTCTGTCGGCAGAGGCATGTAGATTAGACACATAGGCAAAGTCAAATGAAGCCGCGATTTAAATGATCACGGCTTCATTTAAATTTACATGGCTGCCGCGCTGAGCCGACAAACAGCTGATCAGCTGTTTGTCCG